CTCCTAAAAAAATACCAACGTCTTTTGACGGAGTGGGATAATCAAAAAGATTACCAGCATTGAGCATTTGACGTCCGAGAATGTAAATTTCGTTCAACTTCGGTGTTTTTTCTACGTTTGTTTTCGTTGTCAATAGTTGATCAATTATAATCACTTTATTATTTTTTAATAAAATAATATTATCCGGCCGGTTTGAACTTAAATAGTTTTGTTTAATAGTAATACTTGAAACGCTGGAGTATAAATTTCCTTCAAAAACAATATCGGATGAGTTATTTATTTCGCACTTCTCTACACTTTTTATTTTTTTTTATTTTAATTACACTTTCATGTTCCAACTCAGATAGACGATTTAGTATTTGAGTCAACGGTTTGTAAGGTGATTTAATAAGCTTTTTCATTTTTCCAATATAGTTCTCACCCCAAAACGCTGATGATTCACTCAAAGATAAATTTAAATTAAATACATCATCGGGTAAATGTATTAAATTATGCATGTTTAATGTTTGAGAGTTTTTACCGTACAGTGATGGCAATAAAAAAAAAAATTTTCTCAACAATTTCTTAGCGTAATTGTTAAATTTTAGCATAAGATCTTTACAGTGCAAAATTCGACAAGCGACAAATAACAATAAGAAATGTTTATAGACCTGCGTTGGCAAGATGTTTTGCAATACTATTGGACCACAATATAATAACACGAAACGAAACTGTGTCGCTTTCCACCTTGCTAAATCATTCGTATCAAATATTTTTCGTTGAAACTCAGAAGTCACAGAAGGTGTTAACGATAAAAACTTTTCCCTGAGTTTTAATACTGTTTTTATTTTGAGTCGCGCAACACTTGTTCTGAGTATCCGCAAGCATCCATGAGAGTCTTTATTACACCGAGATGTAATAGATGCATAGAATCTAAAATAACTGAGTTTACAGGATCAAAATTAGGCAGTTTTCTTAGGAGTGACTTCAGTCCATCTTTGTGATGACTTTTTTGGGTTTGCTTCTTAAAACTTTCTCTTGTTCTTAATTCACAATCCATTTCTGGATAAACTCTTTTTTTTCTTTTCTTCTCCCCTACAGACTTTCCTTCGATGGTGCATCTTTCGCACGCATAAAATGTACCTGCTGCTTTACAACATTTAATGTATGATCTTGCTTGAGAATCGGCTACAATAGCGATTATTTTAAAACTATAATTTTTTTCGTCAATGACAATCCCATTGTTAATCAAATTTTTACATTCTACTACAAAATCAGAAAGATATTCTTTAACATTTGCAGGTTTTGAATCACCACAGTATATGGCAGCTACGAACGGATGACTGGTATAATTTCTGTTAAAAATTTTAACTGTAATAGGCCAGACTTGTATATTAGAATTTTTATAAATTTGCATACCGTCAATGTGAATAAGTACTTCAATAGTATTTTCAAGAAATACACGTGATGAAATCATTTTTTTTAATCCATTTGCTACGCCGAGATATTTATAGTCACAATCAGTTTCTTTAAGGCTTGTTATAGTTTCTACTACTTGATGATGCTTAGTTTGGAGTAGAGCTTGTGCGGTTTTAGGCAGAGTTGGATGACCTTCTTCCCTTAATATCACAAGTAATTCGGAAATTACATTCAATTGAAGGCTATTTAAATTTTTTAAAGACCACTGACGAAGTTTTTCTCGTATTGTATCTGGGTTTACTACGTTCTCTTCGGCAATACTTTGATTATTACTATCACTACTATCAGTATCTGTTTCATTAGAAATAATAACCTCACTTTCTGCCGGGTATATAGACTGATAACTGTCATCAACACAATCACTTAAACTACTTTCATTATCACTAACAAATGCACCGTAATTATTTTCTTTATTTACAACACTATTTACAATTGTTTCACTGCTTAAATTATTATGATCATGATCATTTGTATTATGATCATTATCAATTAACAATGAGGGTGTATTAGGCGGTTGAGATCTATTATCCATGTACTTTTTTAATGCCCGATATTTTTTTACACGGTCAGACATGATTTTAGAAACTGAAAAATTATTTTTAATAACAACGATAAATTTATTTTCTATTATAATAGAATAAAAAATTTTAATTATAATATATATATATATTTAGTAAGGAATGCTTATGTTCTGTTTGATGAAAAGTTTATACAGGTAAATAATATGTAAAAAACAGCTGATGTGATATTTAGTGCGCATGTGCAAAAAACAATTTATCATATGATCGTCCGAGAATCGGCTGATGATCGTATATTATTGCTATGAATATAGATGGGTGGCCGATGGTGAGCCGGCCATAGGCTGATAATAGAGCACCGATGCTCGACCGAGCATTGGAAGCCGAGCCTCGGACGATTGTAGATTTTTTTTGAGCATCGGTGACTTCGTATGGGAAGTACAAAATGAGCAGTAAGTTGCAGGGATGGCCTTCAGGGTTAACCATCGTCCTAATTTTTTTTTTGAGCCGATCAGTGTTTGGTGATATTCATTTCATTTTGAGATGGCAAACCACATGAAAAGAAAAAAATGGAAATTGTTCCTATAATTTTAATAAAATGTTCTCCTGTACCATTTTAGGAGCGATTACTTAGATTATGGGACCTCACCCATAATTTTTGAGAAACGTTCCTATAGTTATGAGAATGTTTCTATAATTATAGGAACGATACCTATACTTATAGTTGTAATATTACCGGCATGCTTTCCACAATATATAGGAATGGTTCCCATAATATATAAGAATAGTTTCTATAATATTATGCTTTTTTAAATGATCATTTATTACATTTTCTTCTTCCTGGCTTCGTTCGAGCGAAAACGTCAATAATCGATCATTGATCACTAATTGATCACTCTAAGGCAACAATAGGGAAATAAATCATAAAATCATTTTTTTCATCTATTGATATGTACACATGTTATAGGTAGTTGCAAGAAAATACGATGGCTTAATAATTGGTAAATAAGCTCTCTGGCAAATTGGAAAATAATTTTTGCCCCGCTTAATCGATTTTTCAGTGATTAATCTATTTTTGTACGGGAATATCTAGGTTAAGATAAAAATCAGGAAGCTTATGTGAATGAAATGCATCGCATATGTTTTTTGCAAAACGTAAATCTTCAATATTTCTGAATAAATCTTTAAGATGTTTATTCATTACCTAATGTTTCTTCAAAATCGTTAGGATACTTATTTACGATTAGTTGATGGATTTTTATGTTCATTTGTATTATCAATTTCCGATAAATTATGAGAGAAATTAAAGTGTGTGTGAAGCTTTTATCACATACAATCTTACGCCTGGCTAATTGTACACTTAAGAGTATCCAAAATAGGGTAATGAATATTTCAATAAGGTAATGAAAATTTTCAATTTTCTGATATGATTGTTTTTTCATTTGCCCGTGAATCGTCTGGCTGAAATTTTCTAATTTTTCTACGGCAAGTATCATAACGATTTATAATCTTAAACTCCAGACAGTGCTTTAGCTTTTTTTTTCATATTCTAGAAATTGTTTATCTCTTATATCAGACAACATAATTAATTAAAAGTTGGGACGAGTAAAATTCATTTGGTTAAACACTACATATTTTTATAAATTATTTTCACAAATATAGTGAACATGAATTTATTCATTAATAAAGGATATAGTAAAGTAACATCTTAGGAATTTTCTGTAAAATTTTCATTTGCAAATATAAAGAAATAAGCTGGTGACAGCTATTCTTAGCGGGTGCTTCAGAAAAAAGGTGTTTTGTTGTGGACACGAGAACTTAATGGATCATTTGAAATGAGAAATTAAAACAATTTTGTTAGTTGATTAGCTTTCCAACGGAATGCTATCAAGTTTTATTATAATTTTTCTTCCATTTTTTGATTTTTTAGTAGCGTTTAGAAGTCTCAACACCGATTTTAGACTAAAAACCAACTGTTTAACGATTATTAAAATTATTTAAAGCAAAAAAAAAATAAAAAAAAAACGGGACAGCCTTACCGCATTGGCAGTATGTAAAAAAGTGTACAGAGTTTGAAAAATATCGGTGCAGTAGATTTCAAGTCAAAGTTTCTGCCGACTTCCTGTATTGCATACACGGTCTGAGTGAGAAGAAGACTAAAAACAGTTCGTCTGTTTTAGATTTTCAATGATTAATTTAAAGTATTAATACAATAATCTTGGATGTTGGATATCTATCTGATAAAACCATTATTTTTTGTATATTCAATTCAGTGGATGACATTTTTACACTATTGATTTACAAATAAGATGAAATTTAGATTATTTTAGATAGATTATATATTTTATTAATTATTCCTTTCTAATTATAATACTCTTTAACAATATCATTAAAATAAAAATAGTTAAATTTTTTGGTATCATCATTCATCAGATCTCGAACGCTCGAAAAATTATCATATTGTTCTCCAATTTCCCGTCTATGGATTCGGTTTCCTGGCTGTTCAAATTGTTCATACTCTCCATAGTTATCATCAATGACAGTTATTTGTTCGGTAGTCACGGGATTAGTATCATAATTCCCCTCATCGTGATGATAATTATGATTATGATCAGCCTGAAAACAATATTTACATCGTATTTGAATTACTTGAAAAAAAATATTTTAATATTGTCTGAGAGTCCATATATATTATTTTTCGTATATTCTAATATGCTCAAATATGGCCCAGTAAAGACATTTTCTAACAGGTAGCTTGCACTTGAATATTTTATAGATAATAAATCGTTAAAAAAAAATTAGAAAAACGGTTGACCCTGAAGGCCATCCCTGTAACTTCCCGCTAATTCCATACCTAGGCGCTTGAAATTTTACTTATGACGTTTTCGAGCTCTTCGAGCTCAAAAATACAATTTATGTGTTATTTTAAGCTCTCCGAGCTCAAAGAGCTTTGCTATGCAAAGTATCAAAATTTGATGAAACACGATTTTTCTAATTTTTAACCTGCTGTAACTTTTTAATTAATCAACCGATTGTTATGCAGTAGGCGGCGATCGATGTGGTTTTTTGAGTTCTATAAATGATTCTTAACAAAAAAAATGATCTGATAAAAAATTTCGGAGTTATTACAAAAAAACACTTTTTTGATTTTTTTTCGACAACGATATCTCACGAACGCATCAACCGATTTTGACGCTCTATGTGGCGATCGATGCGGGATTTCAAGGTTAAGAGCTGATTAGTTTTTGAAGTTGATCGGTTCAGCCAATTCGGAGATATTGAAAAAAAATGAAAAAAAAAAACAACTTTTTTTCACTTTTATTGCAATTTCTCGAAATCTACTGGTCCGAATCGGTTCCAACTTACAGGAAATCTTAGTTTGGCGAAGCCCTTTCGAATGACACCAACCGCGATGAAATCGGTCAAGCCGTTCAAAAGTTACGAGAGGTTTACAT